TCTACCCCTCTTTTCTTTTTGAGGTAAAAAAAAAAAAAAAAAAATATATATATATATATATATATATATATATATATATATATATATATATATATCACCCGAGCATGGAAGGGTTAATGCAACAAATGTGCCCATCTTAAAACTGCAGAATACTGTTACGGCTGGTGATGTCAGTGCGTGTAAAGAGAGGTTTCTTAAAGGAAAATACCACGCAGAAATCGCGAGATCGTTATCCTACACAATGCATTCTGTTGAAACACCGCCGTCCACCTTGTAGGATTTTACTCACGTTTCTTTGTGCAGCAGAGCGAGTCTCTCTTTGGGTACTTTGAGTCTTTGCGAGAGCCTTCTCTTCAGTCCCTCCACGGTCTCCTCCTGGGGCAGGGAGAGCTCGAAGCGTGTGCCTGTGGTGGAGTGGATGTACAGATTCATGGAGGGTTCAGCCGGGACGGCCTCGCAGGACGAAGTCCCGCGACTGGTGCAGCTCCGGGCGCTAGGATGCTGGTCCATTCGATAACCTGTGCTCGGAGACGGCGGGGGGAAGGGACGGGAAGGGAGGAGGGAGGGAAGACAAGACGAGCAAGAGTCGGGATGAAGAAAGGGTTTAGGAGGAGGAAGCGGAATCCGTCGCTTCGACTATCGTCTCTTAGAAGGCAGCATTCAGAGCTTTCTGTCTGTTAACCCTTCCGTGCGTCCTCCGAGAGTCAGAATAAAACCAAGTCCGGTCGATTTCATGAGAACGTCCCCGCAGGAAATCAACTAACACTGCAGAGTCGCTTTTCTCTTTGCTTGATCTCCTTATTTAAATCTCCTTGCAGCGTTCTTTTTTTTTTTTTTCCTTTTCTTTCCAAGTTGCAAGCAAGTCTTCCGAAATGCTACATTGGGCAAAAGCCAAACAGAAACGGAATTATATTGTCAGCGAAAAAAAAAAGAAAAAAGAAAGAAAGAGGGGGAAAAAATGCAGGCGATCGTATGTAATAACCTTTAAAAATGCGAGGTTTGATTAGGGGAAAAAAAAAAATAATAGTACTAAACTCCTTCTGAATCTTAACTGAGGTTGCTGCAACCTTCAGAGGAGCGGAGCTGCAAGCCCTGTTCGGCTTAGAAGCGAGAGGCTCTCCGCAGCGCTCTCAAACCTACAGCAGCCCCAGTGGATGTACCGACAATGAACATTGTCACAAAGTATCCCACTTCCACCATCGATGAAAATCCGCCCACAACCCCCGGAGCAACCGAGCCAATCGCGGCAGAGCTCTTTCAGGACGCTGCTGATGTCAGCCAATTAAAATGTGAGATCCACACCCACGTGGAGGGCAGACGAGTTTAGGCCATTCATAATAAATTACAGCATAGAACAAAGTATGTGCCCACACCGCAGAAGCTCAAAGCTGCTTGTCCGTGTTCCTTTAAATCGACCAAGGCAGAGGAGGATTGAAATTATATGTTTATATCAATGATTACCGGCTTATCACTTTCTATTTTTTTTATTTTTTATTTCTCAGCATACATTTCTAAAAAGACTGCGTGTGAGTGGGATCTGTGCGACACGCTCAAAATAGCACTTCTCCTTAAAAATAACAACTACTCATCAGAGTGCAGACAACTATTCTGAAGCACCATACTGTAAAAGTATCAGTATTAAAGATAAAGGTTCTGGCAGTTTTTTTTTTTCTTTCATTCAGGTAGCACTATCTACTTTACATACCTGTTGTAAACCGTAACAACCTGCTTTCAGTAAGTCTTATCAGATATACTGTAATGATATTTATAGAACTTCCCCCATGAGCGCAGAAGCATGCAGTCGTGCAAGCATCACTAAAACGGCCGAGAATATTATGCAAAATGTCCACATTGTAAACAATCAGCTATTCCCGTCGGGAACAAGGATACCAGATAACTCATAATGGGTCCTGTATTTATCCCACATGTTCCAGCGAAAAGAAACCGGAATATGGCAGCCAATTGAGCATGTTCGTGCAAGAAGTTACATCATGCACTGCTCCAATCACTTTATGTGATCCTCTACTCTTAATTTGAAAAAAAGAAGAGAAATATGTCGTAGAACACTTGGAAGTATATTTACTTAAGAGACGTCGACTGCCTTCAGAGGAAGATCTCTGGACAAACTGGCATAAAATAAGATACTCAGTCGCCCCCTAGTGGAATAGGCTTCCACAATAAAAACCTGCAGTCGTGTCATTCATTCTTTAGTAAACTAATATTATCAGTAAACTAATATTAAACATACTTATATATATATATATATATATATATATATATATATATATATATATATATAATATAGATAGATAGATAGATAGATAGATAGATAGATAGATAGATAGATAGATAGATAGATAGATAGATAGATAGATAGATAGATAGTGTGGTATACTTAATTTTCACTAAGTATAACGATACAAGGAGACAATTATCCTTCAATGCGCATACTGATGACACATCTCAAAGTTTAAAGTGACATTCTCGACGAAATAAATTAGTTGCGTTGTTACAACTTACACGAAGAACGGTGAACAAAGTTGACCCTTCCTACAGAACAAAGCCCGAGCCAAGCTTTTCTAAAACTTTTCAGCCACACGCAAACTTTCTAAAAATGTTATAATTGCGTACTTACCAATTATTGTGGCGAAAACTGTAAAGCTTCGCTGGGAATTGAGCTGAGTTCCAGTCTGTTCCCCCAGTTTTGGTATGTAAGGTAAACCAAACTCTTAGATAAATCCAAACAATTTGAATATATCATCCACAACAGTTTTGAATCTCAGTTCTCCGTATTTCGCTGGCTCCTGTGTGTGTCCCAGCGCGCCTCTTCACGCACTTTAATAGCAGTCCGGGAACTCTTGACCAATAGCAGCGTATATGTCCCAATGCGTCCGGCTGTTCTCTGTAAGCCGGTGTGTTTCTCGGTGATAACAGCGTAGCCGGGAAGGTGAGACTCCTCTTTAAACTGGCTCCGTTCGGATATGGGTGGAGAGAAGAGTTCTTGTTGTGTCAACAGTTGATTTAAGGTGGAACTCCATCCTCGCGCTACAGCAGGATCACGGTGGTGGTGGGAGGGTCCACGCAAAACAGCGGCAGACAGAGGTGTGCAATGTCCAACTGCGTCAAAAGCCGTGACTATGTCTGAGTCTCAATGAGGGGGCTCGCAACTGAATTAGACACTATACGGTGAAAGTGAAATCTCCAATCAGTCTCATACCACCTTAAAAGAACGTCAATGACATGAAGCCTTGAGTCAGGGGCGTTGCCAACCACTGACGACGTACGTGTCACCGGGCAACAGAGCAGGTAAACACCCTTCCCTGGATACTGGCCCTGTTCACCGGTAAACAAAAAACTCTGCTGGCAGGGTTCACCGCTTTGTTTAGGGAAATAATATACGCGCTGTCAACGCTTCATAAGCATAAGCAAAACAAACAAATCACCCAATAATTAATTAATTAGACGTAATCAGTAAATTAAAATCTGTTAAAATCATTATTAAATAAAATGCCCAGGATCAAACCGTGTTATTCTGTTTATATGACCAGATTGTATTGGGATAATTTGATTATATATTTCTGAATACGAATTGAATTTGTGTGTCTTGCGGGGTGCTTCATTTGTTGTGCATTATAGAATAAGTCAGTTTGAATAGAAACCTTTAACAGTATTGGTGTTTTATTCCAGTCGGCATAACATCGTGATTTCTGACAAGTATAAGAAATAACACTGATTACACCCTCTTCATGCCATTAGCATATATAATTAGGTATATATTAGGCAGCAAGTGAACAATGTGCTCTGGGAAAAAAAAAAAAAAGTAAGTATAAACATACAAAGGAGAAAATCTGATGATCCATGACATCTCGAGAACTTCATGTCTTGTGGGGTGATTCTGGTTTGCAGAGGTCTTTACATGCATCTGCCAAAGGTGGGGGAAAAGTGGTGGGGGAAAAAAAGGCAAAAAGGGTTTGATATTTGTTTGATGAGGAGGGTGACAAGTTTGAGGTGCTGAATTTCCTTTCATATTTCCCCAGATCTTAATCCTATTGTGCAGTTGGACAAGCAACTCTGATCCATGGAGGCTTAAATGATTTTTTTTAATGTAGAGTAAGTCACCGTTTTAGACCATTAACATACTTCTCCATACCATAACCTTTTGCACCTCTCCGACAAGTAAGCTTCTTCATTCATACAATTTTTGGGTGTGTTCAACCACAAGGCTCCACTTGGAGAGATGTAGTTCTCAGTTTAACCTAATTGTTAAGAAAGTATTATTTTCTCACGAAGTTCAATAGAAAGTTAAAATATAACATTTTTTTTTTTGTCGTTAAACTGAACCTCTATGCACTGTGAATGATGCTAAGACGTGGGCTGTTTCCGCAAAAAAGTCAGTCCATTGTAGCATAGTGGCACGACTGCTTCCAATTATTTTAAACTTGTGATAATCATCATGATAAAGTTCACATCAAGGACACAAGCAACATGTTGTGCAATGTGATAGTAAAGAAACAAAAATGGACTTGACAAGAACTGTCCCTCCTTGCTGCCTCCGGCTCAGGAGCAGCACAGACTGTCTGTCTGATAACAGCAAGCTACACTCCTCCCCACTTTGCAGGGGACACTGTGCCCCACCGGCATGTTATCATGCTGCCTAAGAACTGAATCATCCTTTTGTGCATCTGCGTGTGTGCGTGCGCGCGTGTGTGTGTGTGTATATAAGAGAGAAAGAGACAGAAAACGCAGTGTGTGTTCAAAAGAAAACACTGGCGTTATCTCACAGAGGCTACACAAGCAGACAAAGGTGGCTGTCTTTTCGTAGCCCAGGCGGCTCCCTCTTGCTGCTTATCTGTCTCGATCTCTTTATTCCTCACTGGAAGATGCTGACTCAGTGAAAGAAAAGTGAAAGGAGTTGGTTCAACTCCTACTTGAAACACAACCCCCCTTTGTTGGAGTCGAATGCTGCGCCTCAAAGCTTGTTTCGATGCTTGTCGTGCTGGTTTGTGAGACTCTGGCCAGGAGAAAGAGCTAACTGGTTCTGATGTTTGTCACTCTGATCACTCGAGAGTCAGTTTCTTTCTTGGCTACGCTTGTCACCAGGTTTGGCTGGGGGTCATACGGAATACCCTGACCTGGTTAGCCCAGATTAGTTGAGTTGAAAATCTCACAGGTTGCCTGACAAAGGCACGGTACCCACCACATATAATCTAAATCTTCCCTCGTCTTCTACATTTCAGGGTTTCTGGTGGAGAATTATGCTTTCTGCGTGCCATTTGTTTCAATATACAAACACCCGATGCAGCATGTTTTCTCATTCTGTCGCTGCTAATGTGACAAATGAAGGTGAAAAACAAAAGTTGATGCTCAGATTTGTCATCACGCAGCCCGAACGCTAAATGGGTTTGACGACGTTTGCACCAGGATGCACATGGAGAAGCCCGTGATGAAGAACACAGGCGCAGCCCCCACAAATAGCCCTCTACACAATCATGCATCACACATACTTCTGGGAAGAAGTTTATTGACAGAGGAGGAAGGCCATGTGGGCGGGTCGTAAACAATTCACACAGAACGTCAGATCTGCTCGGCCCGGGCCGCGTGTGTATATGTGTGTGTGTGTGTGTGTG